TAATTTTTATCTTATTAGCCTCAGACAATCCACACAAAGTTAGCACACATGGAATTCACATCTATCTCCCTACAACAGCTCAATCAACCCCAAACGGTCTTAGAATTGGTTAAGGGTGTAGGATATAATGGTTATATGGATTTAGCATCTATGGTCCATTCTTGTCAACCTACTCAACAATATGAATCAAAATGTTTCTTCACAATGCTAAACATAAATCTCGTGCTCAAAAATATCAAATCCCACATAAATAAGCACCAACTAACTTAACCTATAACTTATCCATAATTCATAGTCCGACTCTATGTTCTAATATATACATCATCGTTAGCAGATTATTCGACCCACACAAGCATGCAAAAATACAAAAATAATAATAATAAAACTCGATGAAAAGTATACTGAAAAGCACACCCCCACACTAGATACAGGCATTGCCCTCAATGTCTAAAATCATACAATTAGGAAACACAGAAAAATAAGGATAGAAAACAAAAGAGATAGGTACTCCATTGGTATCAGTCTGTAAGGGGTGGATAATAGGGCAAGAACGCTCCAGATCCAGACGGATTCTCATTAGGTGGTGGAGGAGTGGCCCGAGAGTAGAGGTCTCGCCCATATAGCATCTGTGCAACGATCGACATGTCTGGATCCATTGGCACTAGCATAATATTATCCCTAGTCAATCCGTAATAAGCATCAATCACCCAGGAGAGAACATTATCCATTTATCTCGTACCCATGCCTGGTGCATATGTTCAGTCCCCGGAGTGTCTAGCTCTATATTAAAATTGGCATAAAACTCTTGCGCCATAGTAGGATAAACCGTGTGAGGCTCGCCAGCTACCTTTTTCCCATCCTGTTAGAGGAATGAGTCGAGTTAACTCAAATCCTGGAAAATCTTCGATCACAACTTGTCGTTCGGGCCATACTGTCCATTTGGATACCACATTTTCAAATCGAACCTTATGCTCAAGTGATCTAAACCGCCGCATACCCCTGTCATCAAGTCGTGTACGAGCTGTGCCGGAAGATCATGCGACTCTTTCCTTGCCCTTGGATGTAGAAGCAATTGTCTTCCTTTTTGGAGGCATACCTATATAAAACAAAGCAACCATTAGTTAAGCATGTATGATATCGCGACACTAGATAAGCAAAGTGAACGTCGCATGAGAAGAACAAGAGGCCGCAAGGAGGGGACTCAAATAGGGATATATATGGACATAGGGTAGGTGATGCCTGTCACGAGATATTCATTCAATTCAAGCAAATTGAGAGATGCAATAACATGTGAATGTTTAGGTAAGTATACTCTACCTATCATACGAAACTCATGGATAATTCAAGCAAAAATGTCAATTGGACAATTTATCAAACACTTGGCATGCATAAGAATTTGAAAGTAGTAGGAGTATACCATGATTTCATGTAAAATCCAAATAATGAACACCCAATCCATAAACCCATCAACTAACTAAGCACATACTCCAACAAAATTCAATTAGATCCAACCAAGAGCAAGAATTTAAGAAAAATAAGAATAAACTTCAAAA